TTGTTTGAAAGGCCTAAAATCAATCACGTAATATCTTTCGAGGTCCCTCGTTGTTTTACAAGTGGCTTATTTTAAGTTCTAGAACGCCAGTTTTTTTAAACTTCTTAGAAGAACAGTGTAATTTTTTATGTTGACACGTGTATTCGATCTCTTTAACAAAATTAATATCGAAATATTTGCTTTCAATTTGTTACGAAAGAGTAATTATATCGCAAACAACATTTATTTTAATTAAATATAATGTCCAAAGAATAAAATGTAATAAATGTCATTTATTAATTTAACTGTATATCAATTTAACCAGAGATATTTTTTTAAAAAATAATAAAATATTTTTCATATAAAAAGAATTCTTTATCCTATATTAAATCATATTTTATTTGTATTAAACACCTACATTTATATCAAGTATCGTATTTTTTTATTATTTTTCGCATCGACAATATCGATGTCGCTTTAAAATTGCGCTGGTTTATCACAAGTTATTTCGCCTGAAATTTTTATTTCTTATTGTTATAATCTTTCAATTTCTCACGTCGATATAGGACAAAGCAAACGTCACGCACATATGACGAGTCTTTCTACGTTCCTGAGTACGTGTAGTCACGTGACCGCAAAGACCGTGATCCGCGGTCTTTGGCCCTCTTGAAGAATCGTGAACGATTCAGTTCTCGGCGAGACACGACGTATGTAAGAGCCCGTACGTACACGTGTGTCGAATCATAACTGCGCGTCTCAAGCAAGATAGTTCCACATTAACGATTTCACGGAAGCCATCTCCGTCGATGTCCTACCTCGACCTCGAGATTGCATGGCTCGCAAGGTCTCTCCTCGACGTGATTAAACGAACGCATTAAACTAGTTACGAGTGCACCATCATGCTTCTCATAAATTTCCAGCCGCGTTCACCCGAGGTATTATAACGTTTGATGTTTATAGTGCTTGCTTTTTATGCGGCTCGAAATCTACAAAGTGTCTGATCCAGTGAATAATGTGACAACGTGTCGATGTATTGTTGGAAATTTGTATATAACAATATTGTGCGAGAAAGAGAGAGAGAAAAGTTGAATCCAAGATAGTATATTACTCTACGTGATTGATTGACATAGTGAAAGATGACGTTTTTTCCCTCGATCAATTTGTCTAATGAGATATGGCAGTGAAGAAAACGCGCGGAAGTAGTTTGGTGTCGGCGTTTTGTAATTTCGATTAAATTGAATCCGATAATTAATCGCGATGCTGAAGTATACAAGCAGGACCGGGCGATCTCGGGTCGTCGTGAGAAAACGGAAAGGACGATCCTTGTCTAGAAGCTGGCCTGGGACACCCAGAACACTATCGATCGTGTCATCCGAGGTAAAGAAGTGATATAGAAAGAAGGTGAAAACGATGTAACGGACAGATTACGTCTATCAATCTAGTAAATTGAGCAATTCGCGTGAGAGTTTATTTTTATAACACGCTAATGTTTGCTTTAAATAAGTTTGAGAAGAAAAGTATCCGCAAACATCGTATCGAGAACTGATAAAAAATACCTATTTTCAGGTTTGATTAAAAATATTAAAAAATAATAATAACGAGAGAAACCCACACAAGGAATATAATTTATATTGATACTTGACATTATTATATTTATTATATTTATTATATTTGCATATCGTATTTTATTTTATTGCATTTTATATACAAAAATATGTAGAATAAAATTCGGTTAGATTCATTCATTCTTTATTAATGATTTTAATAACAGCTGACTTGTTTGTTGTGTGATGAAAAATTAATCAATAAATTGATATCAAATTTTGATGAAACATCGCTATCTCTCTTGATAGCGCGATTATTTCTTTGAAATGATAACCTTGCGAGAGACGATGGATACGTGCAACCGTGATGTACGAACGAGGTCATTAATGCTCGGTCGAGATCGATGTAAAGAACGAAGAGGTAAACCGCGTTTATATCTCGCCATCGTTTTATCTCGTCCGATGCATAACGTATGTGTACATGCATACACGTGTGTGGACCTGTCACCCACGCACGGGTCGAAAGTCCCACGCAGAGATTGAGCGCACAATGTAGGAGAAGAATGACGAACGGCATGAATGAGAGCGTATAATTGACAGAGTATGTATTATTTTTCTGTCTGACCGTATAGTTAACTGTTTGTGAAGAATTGACGGTACATTGGCGGTATATACACAAACGATATAATCATTTTGGAATTATTATTTCGTATACTCGCGATGTTTTGTTTAAATAATTATATCGAAAATAAAATTATACTATTTACCTTACTAATCATTTTGACAAATGTTTGATTAATTATCTTTTCATGCTGTTTATTTAGAATTTATGTAATAATAATAATAATTTTGTTTCTCCAAAATTATCAGATATGTCAATTGAACTGCATAAAGAATTGATTTTTTTATTGGTTATTATTAACAGTAATGTTAGTAATGTATTTTTAATTAAAATTTATATTTTATTATTTACATGCATTTAATATGTAAAATTATTTTTGATTATATTTCACTGATTTGAGTTATTGGAGAATAATTTATATTTTTAATGGGTTTTTTTAAATAATTGATAAGGGAATACATACATATGTGTGTGTGTGTGCATGTGTAAAATTTATACAATTAAATATTGTAAAATATTACGAATAATTCGCTGTTGTTTACATTTATATCTAACGCGGTAATTGTTTACAATAGAATCGTTATGTCATAAAAACATTGCACATTTTGCATCGTCTGTTTATTGGTTGCATCATGATTGCATTTTGCTGATTGAGAATGTTACGCGTGCTTTCAAAATCAAGCATTGGTTAAGCAAGAGAGATAATTACAAAATATTATGTGATTGCATATTATTTCTCGTACGAACATTAAAGATTTATTAATATCAACGTAATCTTAGGATTAGTTGGCAATTTTTTTTTAATTACCGCGTAGATAGGAATCGAAAAATTTACAAGTAACACTCTGTTGTTTCTTATATGACGTAAGGAACAAATGTGATGGATTTTTCTTTGTGCTTTTCGTCAACGCAAAAATATGTAAGCGGGAAAAATACCGAATCGGAATGTCATTCGATCGATTGTCGATAGAAACTGAACTTTCATCCTGAAATTGGCTGAACATTCATTCTAACAATCAAGTCACGAGGGAACGGTTCCGTGAATGGAACATATAACCAGCACATCTACCGGAAGTCCGGCCTACGAGTTCCGGCCCGAAGCGCACTCGTCTCATTGTCTCTTTCATTCTTTTTGTTTTTTTTTCGTTACTGTTCAGCAACGAATGTCGCTGCCTGTCAACCGAAAAAAGGCATAAAGAATGAGAGGCGAAAAGTTAAAATTAAAAGTCTGAAATGATAATTAATAGCAGTGAGCCTCTGAAGAACCTTATGATGTTTATTTATTAATTAAAACAATTAATATATGTATATATATTTTTCCATGTACATATTCTTTTAAAAGATCGATTAATATACATATACCAATTACGACATTCAATAATTACTATTTAATAGTTACTATAAGTAATTTTACATTTTTTAATTAAGATTATATATCTTGTGCGCGTTAAATTATCTCCAACAAATTGCTTCGTGTTTTTAATTTTATAGATAATATATAGCGTTGGAATATATTTCTATGTAATTCAACTTGTTGCATCAAAAGTGTTGTTAGCAAGAGATTGCTTCTACTTAATTCTACTTTCAAATTTATAACGGATACCATCTGTTTCTCTCCTCATCGCATATTATTTATTGAAATTTCAGATAATCTGACATAGTATAAAGCATAATTTTCCAAGATATTAGATATCTATTTTTTATTTTTGATATTATCAACGTAAATTAAAGCAAAATTATTTAGATTTATATTTATAGATGTATAGATTTATATTTAATATTTATATTTATATTATCTAGGTGCAACTGTTAAGGTATAATGAGTCTTAAATGTATTACAACGATAAAGTAATGCAGCTGCAACACTTGCATCTGCACAGGTGATGTCGGCGCCTGATTAGACTATCAATGAATTGTCCTTTGAACAAAATATAATAGGCATTTTTATTCTGCCTGAAGCATATTTATTGTTATCTTTGTATAAATCGTGATACAATTGTTTAATTGCACTTGTGTATGCACCGGAAAAATAATAATTGCCCACATTAAATATTCAAATGATGCGATCTCTTTTTTATTATGAATTCTTAACCAAATTTTCTTGCGATTGCAAAGTGTGCTCCAAGAACTGTTTTTGTTTAAAGTTTCTTTCGATTAATTAGCGAACTTTTTTTCTAAACAAAATATATGTAATATTAATTTTGAATTGGCGAGTGACAGAACATAAAAAGATATATATTTTAATGAATAATATCTCTCAGGGACAAAAATAGATAACTAAACTTTTTTTTTAAATAATTGTAGGCGAATTATTCCCTGATATTAATTTATAGTCTAGTTTTTATTATACTTTTTTAAATATTTTTAATGTTAATTATATATAATATATTTTTTAAAATATTTTTAATATCAATTATATATAATATATAATTTTTAATATTTTTTAATATTTAGTATGAAATATTTTTCTAATAATTTTAATTTTAATATTGAATATTGAGAAGACGATGCTTTGCAATCAAGTCTTTTTTTTGCGAGAGAAGATTGCACGCTAAATTGATAAAGTCCATAGATAAAAACATTGGCGATAGTTGTAGAATATCCCGTGCATAGTGCTTATCTGTCTCACAGTTATGTGGGACGTTGCGAGTTAACATGCAGATATCAAGTTGCGCTTACATATTGACATCGACATCATTTCTCGATGATTATTCAAACACGCGTTTTATTACACACACGTACATATGCATAGTAATCATTTCCTGACCGTAAGAGGTCCAATCAATTAGACATCATTTATTTATAGGCTTTTATACTTGCATCATTGTACAAACTGATGTGTCTCTTTTTTGCAGATCGACTATCCGGAAGTTCATGGTGGAGGAAGGATGCATCGACCACCACACCCGCATCCCATAACCGACCACCGTCAGGTCAACCTGGTCTTCGATGATACGGTAAATATCTCTATTTGTCACTGATTTATAGTCCACTTAGCAGTCTAAATCGTTTGTAAGATATTTTTCCTTTCTATTCATCCGAGCAAGTCGAAGTCTAAAGACGTCTTCTTCAAAGGAATTGCAGACTCACAAATTACTCTGTTCGTGTTCTTGACACATATATTCATTTTTATCCAGATACCCAGTTATAGAAAAATTTCGAATCATGGTTCTCATAAGGTATCTCGAATAGGTGTCTGCAGAAATTTTGGTAGAAAAAAGTGTGTAATTATTATTGGGGATTTAACATATATGTATAAAGTTTCTTCCTCCATCGAAACATTCATCTCGCGTATATAACACACATTTCTCCTCTTCGCTGACCGAATTATCTTCTCATCGAAATCAGTATCGCCAGATGATGTACAAGCTTTGACAGTCTCAATACCAGATCCTTGCGCAGTCGTTCCCGAAGAATCATTCCGATAATCGGAATTCCATTGATCTGTCGGACACGTGCGACGAGGATGATTCTGGCGGACGAGAAGCTGAATGGAAGAAACAATTTGGGAAGTAGCGTGTGGCACAAAACGCGGGACAAAAGGAAAAGTGAGGCGCACACATGAGCGACATAACGGGTCGTATAAATCATCTGTCGGGTCGGGCAGTGGCCTTTCGAGCGTTTACTATCCGTTGCTGGATGGATGCTGCGAGCAGCAGCAGCAGCGATGTTCTCTTCTGCGCAACCAATCTCTCTCCATTTGCCTCTGTCTCTCCCTCTCTCGACTTTTCTCCACAAGAGTCTCGATCGACCGTCCGTCGACTCCTTAAGCGCATCTCACACGACGACCCTGAGAGAGAGAGAGACCCTTTAAGATCAATTCAGGTGTCGTTATCGGCGTCAATTTACGTCATTGCTTGCTTATTGTTCCGCATGGCATTAACTAATCGCGAAGGCTGATGAATATTAATTCACGAGAGCACTGACGTGCTCTTTCTCGATCAGTTTCTCGAGCGTGTTTTGCAATCTTCTTATATGATGTTACGTTCGGCTGCGACTATGTTTTTGCCGACATTTGCGTGGGCGAAAATCGAAGTAGGTTGTATTACATATCGGGCGTTACATCGTTATTTTTAAGCCTCGGTTATTTATGTTATTAGATTCTACCGTCATGATTATTACACTGAAAAAAATTTATCGAATTTAAAAATAAATATTTACTTCAATACTGCCTAATGAATCGATTTATTTGAGACTAATAATATTGGTTTTATATGTGAAAAATATTTATTCAGTATAAGAAAATCCTTTTCAAAACAGATAAATATTTATTAGTTTCAAATAAATGATTTATTAGGCAGTATTGAAATAAATATTTATTAATTTAATAATTTTTTTTCAGTGTATCGTGCATGCATCAACGCCCGATTGCAATTATCGCGAATTTAATCGCGTTTATTATATTTTGTATTTTTATTTTTTTGTTAGAGATTTTAATTTTGAAACTGGAATTTTATACACATTAATTTGCAAATTTTCATTATTTCATTAAAACAAATTATAATTAAAGTCATGATAAATCTCGGACGATGTGATATACATAGACAATATCATTTTAAAGGAGATTTGATTCACGGAGAGAATTTTATATAATCTCTCAGTTCTTTTATTCTCCATTTTAAAATGCAATTCCATAAAGTAAATTCATAATTATTCATAATCGTTTATCATCAAATCGCTTCGAACTCATCATTCTCATCAAGTAGCCGCCTCTCACGAATCAGATATAGTTGCCGTTATTTAAATTCCCTGTTCCCAAGCCGCAAATTGCACTCGAACCCCTTCTTTTTCCCAACATAGCCCGACTGTGTAAGCATTAATAAACTAAGATAGATCATTATCGTGCAATTTTTATTTTTAATCTTTGTCTGCTGGAATTCTATTTACGTATTGCGAGAACTGCCATAAAGTCAATAATGATTATATATGCGTATATTATGTAGATAAGTTGAGATGTAAATTTCTCTAGCTTTACATAACTAATTTAGTCTGCTGCAAATTTGCGATTTACTTTTTAAGAGATGCGCAAATTCTAGTTGTATATTTATTAAATGGGAACAAATATTGATAGTAAGAGATATGTGTAGTTAGTGTGCGATGAAATTTAATTGAATTTCCATGCGATATTTGTATTGTATGGACGACGAAATTTCATTAAACTTCCATCTATACCCTTATATATATGTGTATTTACAAAATCTAATGAAATTCACTCTAGTCAAATTCTTTGTATCAACATTAGTCACTATTTTATATGATTTTTCTTCGGCGATTTTCGTTTCTCTCAAAGAATTGATTACTCTATATATAATATATTAAAACTTTGGAATTTTTCATTTTTTTAATGTTTTATTTTATTTTTTTAAACGTGAGAATTTTCTTTTAGAATTTATCCTGAATTAATCATGAGACAATATGGTATTGGAAGAATTTTATAAGAGTTTCTCTGATTAATATTTACCACAATAAAAAAATATTATATACCTGTATACATAATAAAATTAATCGAATATTTATATCTTATTGTGGTAGATATTCAGACTTTTTTTTTATTATGATATTAATCAGAGAAACTCCTGTAAAATTCTTTCAATACTATTATTGTTTCACGATTACAATGATTTTCAGAGTAAATTCTAAGAGAAAATTCTCTCTGTGTACAAATATTTTTAAAAATTTTTAATTTTATTTTTAAAATCGTGTTAATTTAATTTTTTTTATTTTATATTTATACATTTCAAATTTCTATTTTTGAATAAAAATTCATTTAGTACACATATTCATTAAGTATACATAGATTTATAGTAAATTTTTAGTACACTTATATAGAAAAAGCAAATATTTTTCATATTGTTTAGTGAACTTTATTTTCTCTCTCCTGTCGTTTTTTTTTATTAAACTTTAAATGAAACTAAAATTCAAATTAAAACTTTAAATGAATATTATTATGAATGAAATCTCATTTTAAAGAAAAAAAATGACAAGCTCTTATAATAAATGTCATGTTTTTGACATTTCACTGTCGGCTCGTCGGGAATCAGATTTAATTTCACGGTTCATGATCGCGCTTATAACGAAAGCGCGCGAAAGAGAATATTTCTCCGAATTTCCTCTGAAAAATAAAAAAAGAAAACAAAAAAATGCGATCTCGCGCGCGGAAGCCACAGGTGGCCCCGGCATCGTTTCCCGCCGGCCGGCGCGAAACGCGCCCCTCGTTGACACGGGCCTGAGGAGCGCGCTCGGCGCGACTGGGCGGTCACGTGACTATCCTGCGTTCTCTCGAAGGGAATGCCAGCGGCGCGGCGAGGGTGGCGGCGGGATGGAGAGTGGCAGCGGCTCGCTCTAACAGAAGTTGATGGTCCGCCGCGACGACACGACGACGACGACGACGACGGACGCGTCACGAGTTTCGTGCCAAGTTGTACCAAGGAGGATTGTCACGCCGCGTGTCTCTCTCGGAGTCCGCGCGGTGACAAAACGACAAAGTGCGAGAGAAGAGAACGATCGGAGGAAAAAAATGTTGCGTACGCCAGCAATCGCGCACGATTCGTCGAGGTCGCCGTGATCTTCTCCGTCGAGATAAGGGAGATAAGGACGACAGGATCACGAGGGACGCGTGTGCGGCTCTCGCGATGGACGCGTACAATGTGTACCAAGTGAGTAACTGGTTCTCTCTCTCTCTCGCTCGCTCAAAATGGCCTTGACTCTCTCGCGGACGACGCGTCATGTCGGCTTCCTGGGGGAGCGCGGGCTGTCCGCGCCCCTCCTGGCTGACATGACAGCGCGGTTGGATAGGTTTTGTTTGGATGCGTGCGTATCTGCGCCCCAGACGCACGCACTCGATCTCTGCCTGCATGCGTGCGTCGTGATGTCATGTCGCTGCCTAACGACCTAACCTAACCGCCGACTGTCCCAATCACGCCCATTCTTGGTATTCGCGGCATCGTCGTCTTCGTCGTTGTCTTGTTGATGTTTTCGTTCCTCGCGATGTATAGCTACAGGTCATCTTACCGGAATCACAAAATAGCGGATTGTGGCTCGTCCTCCGAAATCTCTCTTCTATGAATTATCGTTAGGCGATTTTTGAATAATTCGTAATGATTGATGGCTCAGAGGAATATTAGATGATGGACATGATGTTGAATTTATGCTGTTATGTATATCTTAAACGTATTCTATAATTTTTTATCCATTGCTTTTTTCATTCTATTAATTCATCATTTTTATTCTAAACATTTTGATTTTTAATGTTATATGTAATATAATCTATATAGTATTTCATATTTCGATACATTGTGTGTAATATTCATTACGGAAATTACAATTTACACATTATAATATAGCTTTTATCTAGTCTAGTTGAATATGTTGCAGTTTTATATCAAAATTTTATTATATTAATTTTTTAGTTATGTTTATATACATATAAAATATTTAACAAATATGACATGAGGAAACAAAATTCATCAAACTCTTTGAAAAGTTGATGTGAAATATTGTCAAGTTTATTTATAACAAAATAATATGTAAAAGCAATTTGTAAATGAAGTGTAAAAATGATGGAAGTAAATCCTTTTTTTTTTATATATATATAAGCATATGTAAGTTATATAAATTCATTATTCTAATGAAAATTCTTTTTTACAGTTCTCGCAGGGCCTGACAGGCAGGCCAGAATTGTATCAGAAATCAAACAGAAGCAGCCATTCGAGTGACACAAGTTCGGCGTACAGTGGATCCGACACAATGACATCAGTACAAAGTTCATTAGACGCGGATCCCGACGAGGTGGATCTCTCGGGTCTCGTGGAATCTATTGTCGACAGCGATGAGGAAGAGGATCTAGCAGAAAGCATGGATGTAAGTATTACGGTTTACCTTTCCACTCAGAAATATATTATATTGATTTTAATTTCTATTGTAATGTTTTAGAGTTTAACAGTGCGGGATCCTGTACGAGAATGTTTAGAGAAGGATCCTGTTGAAAGAACGGAGGACGACATAGAGACGCTTTTGGAATTCACACAACAACTGAAAGCTTTCACAAACATGACTTTGGCCGTCAGAAGAGCGTTGTGCGCTGTAATGGTATTTGCAGTGGTCGATCGGGCCGGTATGGTGGTCTTGAATGATGGTGAAGAACTCGATAGTTGGAGCGTGTTGATTAACGGTGCTGTCGAGATTGAGCACAGCAATGGTGAAATTGAACAGCTCGGTCTTGGAGACAGCTTTGGTATCTTGCCTACTATGGAGAGGCTATTACATCGCGGAGTTATGAGAACAAAGTTTGTAATACGTTTCTTGTCTATTTTTATATCGATTATTGTATGCAGAAGATACAAGGAAAAATGAAAACGTTTCTTGTTTTTTTTTTTTACAGATGCGATGATTGTCAATTTGTTTGCGTCACACAAGCAGATTACTTTAGAATTCAACATCAGGGTGAAGAGAATACCAGGAGACACGAAGAGAATGGAAGGGTAATTTTAGTGACAGAATTAAGAGGAGCTTTGGACGGCGCCGCGCGAAGAGGCCACGTGGTGATACGGGGAGCAGCGGAACGTTTGATGTTACAACTCATCGAAGAAAACAGTATTACAGATCCTACTTATGTAGAAGACTTCTTGTTGACTCATCGAACGTTTATCGATAGCCCGTTGTTGGTCGCGAGTCAATTGTTGGAATGGTTCGATCAAGCACAAGTGCGAGATCGTGTTGCTCGCGTCGTGCTCTTATGGGTGAATAATCATTTCACTGATTTCGAGACTGATCCGGCGATGATGGAATTTTTAGAAGCATTTGAAACCGGATTGGAAAGGGAAAAAATGTTAGGACAACAAAGGTAAAGTGAATTTTTTAAATTTTGATTTTGAAAGGAAAAACTGGAGCATTAAGAAACATGCTTATTGTGTATGTCTTTGGGATTTCAGGTTATTAAATATTGCATGTGCGGCGAAAGCGAGAACGCGGAACGTAACATTAGCTAGACCAAACAGAGATGAGGTCTTAAATTTTAGCATCTTAGGGGGATTTGAAAGAGGTTTCGGTATATTTATTTCAAAAGTTGACAAGAGATCTAAGGCTGAGGATGTTGGTTTAAAGAGGGGTGACCAGATTTTAGAAGTAAATGGTCAGAGTTTTGAGCATGTGAATCATGCGAAAGCGCTCGATATTCTGAGAGCTTCTACGCATCTCAGTATAACTGTAAAATCTAATTTACTTGGTGAGTCTAATCGTCTTTTTCAAACCAAAATAATTAGTAATAAAAAGATGTCTGTTCTTTACCATCGATTATTTATTTTTACAGCTTTCAAAGAAATGCTTCAGATGCCAGATAACTCTCCGAGACCCCGAGGTAGGTCAAGTAAGCCGGAAATACCCAGGCTTCCATCTGATCCACGTGCTAGACTGTCGACTCATGTGGATCCCTTGACTGGTGTGAATCCTTTAAATCCTATGATTGGTGGAGTACCATTGTTGATGCCTGATAACAATGTATCGCCATGTAAAGATGCCAAAAAGGAGCACAAAGGATTTATGACTCTTGGACCCAAACGACGATTACAGAAAGCACTTATGAAAATGAACATACTGCCAAAGAACACAATCAAGTAAGTGCATTAAGAGCATATTGCGGAATAAATGATAAATAAATGTATGAATCTTTTGTTTATATACCATATATTTTAAATTTTAACAGCGATGGTGTACATTTGGACGATCCTCTTGCACCACCACATACACCACCGGGAACAGGGCTTGCGCAAACAACAACTAATCTGTACCATTCGAAGAGTAACCCAGATCTTACGTCGCTTTATTGTTACGATGACTTGCGAGCAAACGATTATCCCGAACATGTGCTCAAGGTATACAAAGCAGATCAAACCTGCAAGTATCTTCTTATCCACAAAGAAACGACAGCACATGAGGTACGTAAATTTGTGTATCGATATTATTTATTACCAATATTAAATAACAAATTAAATTGTGTTTTATTTATTGACGTTTAACTTATTGTAGGTGGTAATGCTTGCACTTCAAGAATTTGGTATAACGGAAAGCAGTTCAAATTTCTCTCTGGCAGAAGTGAGCGTTGGTGAAGGTGGCATGATCAAGCAGCGTAGATTGCCGGATCAATTGCAAAATCTCGCAGAAAGAATTGGATTGAGTTCGCGATATTACTTGAAAACTAATGGAATTTCCGAAACTTTAGTAGCCGACGATCAAGCTCCAGAACTTATTCGAGAATCTCAAGTTCATTTTCTGCAATTGAATGCCGTAGAGGTGGCGATACAACTGACTCTACAGGACTTTAGTATATTCAGGTAATTCAGGATATTTATAATATATACCAAATGTATAAATTTACTTATTTCAAATTGGACTTGGAATTACAAAGTTCAATTACACATTTCGATAATAATAATAAATTTAATTTTGCATATTTTGTGTTACAGACAAATTGAGTCCACAGAATATGTGGATGATTTGTTTGAACTGAAGAGCAGGTACGGCATACCTATGCTCAGTCAATTTGCAGAACTAGTCAACAGAGAAATGTTTTGGGTTGTAACAGAAGTCTGCTCCGAGCATAATCTCGTGCGGCGTAGTAAGATTATAAAACAATTTATCAAGATAGCGCGTAAGTATCTACATCAAATATGTATATTCTTTTTTTTCTTTATCTTTCTACAATTCTTTTAGCAATGTTTTTTTTTAACAGGTCAATGTAAGGAGTGCAAAAATTTCAACTCCATGTTCGCGATCGTATCTGGTTTGGGTCATGGTGCAGTGTCAAGATTAAGAGCTTCGTGGGAAAAACTGCCAACGAAATATCAAAGGTTATTTAGTGATTTGCAGGAATTAATGGATCCCAGCCGCAACATGAGTAAATATCGACAATTGGTGGCGTCTGAACAAACGCAACCACCGATAGTGAGTCATTGTCTTTATATATATAATATCAAATAAGATCTTTCATGATCATTTAACGTATAGCGCTATCTGCAATATTAAGCTTATATGGTGTCAGTTTAAAATAATCGAATTAAACGAATTTTGTTTCTTATATAGATACCTTTCTATCCAGTCGTGAAGAAAGATTTGACTTTTATACATCTTGGTAATGATTCGAGAGTAGAAGGTTTGGTAAACTTTGAAAAACTCAGAATGATTGCCAAGGAAGTGAGAACGCTAACAAACATGTGCTCTTCACCTTATGATTTATTAACCATGTTGGAGAGAGGCGGGCAACCACCGAGTTCTGCGATGGTTGCTTTAAATCAAATGACCACTGGAAATCAGGGTAAATTCTTTTGTGCTATTTTTTATTGTTAAAAAAATGTTGACCTTTTAAATAGAATTTATATACAACTGTGACATTGTTACTTGTAGGCGGCCAAACTGCGACGGTGAAACGACGAAAGAAATCCACGGCCGCACCCAATCCAAAGAAAATGTTCGAGGAAGCGCAGATGGTTCGAAGAGTGAAGGCCTACCTTGCAAACATGAAAGTAATCACAGATGAGGAGCGACTGCATCAACTTTCCGTCGATTGCGAGCCGCACGCGGGAGCGGTCGCGGTTGCGGCTGCGGTTCCACTGAGTGGCAGTCGAGGAAGAAGGCATCCGTCGCCTACTCTGTCAACTACTAGTAGCGCCAGCAGCACTAGCGAAGGCAGAAAAAGTATACAAGGTCAGTAAATCTCTCTACTAATGGTACTTTGTAATTTATTGTTCTTCTTAGGAATTTTATCTTATAATTTGTATCGATTATGGATTTTACAGGTACAAAATTCGGCGCTGCGTCGCCACAGGCGGTGAGGAAAATGCTAGCCTTGTCAGATCCTCACAAGACACGACCGTATCAACCCAAGCATTGTCCACCGCCGTTACCAGTACCAGGATTGGCTCTACACTCGAGTGGTTTAGAGCCTAGTCCAGGTGCACCTAGAAGAGTAGGATCCGGCAGTAGAGTACCGATGCACGAGCGATCCCACAGTGATACACCCGCTAGTCTACCGCCGCCTGTCGACCTCAGTGCGGAGAGCAGTAGCGTAACTAGCTTGAGCAATCTCCAACCACTGAGGAAAACCTTGACAAGCGGTGAGTACAATTTCTTTCTCACAAAATGGTTTGAAACGAGATGCTATCCAATGATATTTATTCTCTAGGTCTTTCTAAAGATCTCATTTATAGACGAATCGTTCCGATGAAATAGATCTGAAAATTGATTTTATTTGTTGCAGTTACTTTTAATAATTTTTTTATAATTTTTTTTTTAGATTATTTATACATAGTATATATTGATAGATTGTTGAACAAATATAAACTTAGATACGCATCTCGCGAAGCACCATCACGCACCTTCATTGCTCGTTACATACACTGGTCAGGTCTCGCAACAAGGAGTCTCATTATTATGCACGCTGCACAGCCGTTACGCAATTCATAAATGTTCCATGTTATTTAGTTGATCCATATATACACGTACATTTACACACGTACACACACATACATACACACGCATCTTGTACGCCGATTATTGTAGCGCGAGCTTTTCTTTTCGATTAGACATCACGAATACCTCACGTACGTAAATCCATAACGAAGTGCGGTTTCGATTCGGAGCTCTCGTACCATGGGACATACGGAGTCGTACGTCAACGATGCTGCTTTTAAGAGCATAATTAATTCGAAATTAAAAAATCAATAAATGTCTTCTCTTGTGATAATTTTAGAATTATTATCGTTAGTGAGAAAAAGATAAAAATGTGCAGCCTCTATATTAGTCTAAAATTAAATATTTATACGAGTACGATCCAATTTTTGACTATCGCGTAGGAAATCATCGCGCGTTACAATTTTTAACACAGTGTACATAAATCGTGCATATAAGATATACTTTCGATTACTTTGCATTGATATAGAATAATAAATATCCGTAGACGATAGGAAAGAGAAATAGGTATATGTGCAAGAGACATGATACAATCTGAGCGTAGCGAGAGGTGATCAGCTTGCATTAGGTTCTCGCGTTGACTCGATTTCGAGCAAAGAGACGCGAAAATATACGCGAACGAATATATATCGCCGCGACTAGACGGTAGTACGATGTTTAGCGATCGCATCAGGGCGGATAATCCCCCGGCTGGTACGTGTGTAGTGATAGAAGTGTCTTGGGGACGTGTGCGTAGGTTCGGTGACGAGCAGTGACAGCGGTCATAGCACTCAGCTGGACAGCCACAGCGGGAGCAGCGTGGAAGCGGGCGGCAGCCCACCGCCACCGCAAAGACGGCACTCCGCTCTGCAAGGTACGTAATCAACAACAACACGAGAGTGAAGCGAGAGAACGGATTGTGGCCAACTGTGCTCGTGTGCTGTTCCTCTTGTCCGTAGACCGTAGTAGAAATTGTAGAGATAGAGTAGAGTCTCCGAGCGCGGACACCGACTCCGGAAATCGAATTTTCTCTTCAGCGTGTGTTCTAAGCTACGAAAGCTGGATATATATATATTTTTATGATGTAAGAGATTACGGTTTTTATATACTTGATATCCGATGTTTGTTTTATTCTTTTTTTTACGTCTATTTTTTTCTTGTATTACCTGTCTTATTTTTTATGTTGTCAGGGGATTACGTGTTATATAATTATTGTGTTCAGTTAATTATAATATTAAATTGATAATCGAGATAACCTTGGAATCGAAATTTTCTTAACTATAGACATACGATAACGACTTCCCGTACTTGAAAGATATGATACTGTAGCGTCAAAAATTAAAACCGAGAAGTCTAACATTTATTTTTCAATATTTATATTTACAATTTAAATTTATAAATAATTCGCGATAAATATATTTGATTTTCATTTATTTATCTGTCGAATATTTTTTTTATATTTTCATTAGCTCTTATAATTTTAAATAATTATTTATTCATCTTGGGAGTCGCTGATTCAATTTTATCGCTAAAGAACGTATGTCCCATGGCCACTTGTCTTCAAGCGCTGATCGAATTACTCTCACGTCTCAAAGAATTAAATATTATTATTATCGAAACGTGCGTTTTCGCGTTGATATTCGCGTCGTCGAGCACTGCATATATATATGTAGCATAACAACTTTGCTTTCAGCCGCTTAACAAGTCGTTCTATCTTACGCTTCTGTAAAATTCGCTTTACAGCTTGTTATGTCTCGGTTAGTTACTCGCTTAATCGTGCGCCGTCTTAAAAAAAAAAAAAAAAGAAATATATATATTTGCATCGGTCGCAATAATCACGCCGAATTCTCGTTCCGAGGCTCATCCCACTTTCGAGGATTTACAATAAACGGCTCAAGTCTGTAGATTTTGTAAAAAAGTGTCGTATGTGGCTTCTCTGTGTGGTGCAGGGTCTGTTATAAGAGGCGGAGCGCCTCCATTTCCTCACGCGGTAGCGGTGTTACCTCCGCTTCCTGCCAATCAGAATCACAACCACAATCATCATCACCATCACCATCATCATCATCAACAACATTATCACGATCATCATCATCATCATCAACCCCCAACTCCTCAAGGTGAGTCTGTCCGCGTCTGTCTGCCTGTTTCGTCTGTTTGTCTGTCTGGCTTGGATCATTGCGTTAATATCCTGCTGTCTCTCTCTCCGAAACGGAATACATTAAGGTCCAACGGAACGGTGTGGCTCATGCATGCGAAACAATATACCGAAGTATTTGGAGTGGTAGATGTTACAAACCTTGCCAATCTCCAGCATCTTTACACAGGCTTGTGCTTTGCCTGAACTTGATGGAAATTTGCCTTTCACGAGGGTGTATTTAGTCTCTCTTTCTCTCTCTCTATGCGTGACGTTCTCGCCCGTTCTAATCATTAATTGTCTGTACAAGTCTGTTGGTATGCACGCTGGTGACATAGTATTACGGTTTGCTTCTAGCGCGGCCTAGAAGCGCAACACGCTGCATCGAGTTTGCTCCATTTGCGTATTTGCGTGTCCCATAGCATTAGCGAAGATATATAACTGTGAACGCGCTCTTTCCAGGGTACTAACTACGCGAACGGTGTATATATATATATATATATATACATATATACACATATATATGCTTTTTCCTTTCTCTTGAGCAGGTTGTGTAGCGGCGAATGTATTTTGCGGTTTCCTTTAAACTCGCTCACCTCTCGCGGACCTCGGTTGGAAGCGAGCACAAATGATTTCTCGATGTTAATTGAGTGCTTCCTCTATTCAAGTTGCATTGCGATGTCTTCAAAACGCGTACGAGCTAAAATAATCATGTGAATTTTAAATTTATTTTTTAACTAATTTGTATTATTATTAAATTAAAATTGATTAATTAAATTTTTCTAAATTATTGTTTTTTAATTTACGAAAGAGTAAAGCGGAATATTTTCCAAGAGGCACTCCAACTTGTACCGGCTAATTCTGTTAATTAGAAATCTATGTAACGAGTACACAAACTCGATTGCATTTGCTCTTTGCATTCTCGTATAAGCGCTCGTTTACAAGCCTGATGTCCGAGAAGGTAGCGAATCGCTTAGTCGCTGAAAGAGATGAGGAATATTGTAGAGATGGGGTGAAAAAAAGCGGCGGCGAAAGGGGGAGAAAGAGAAAGAGAGATCGAGAGAGTCGAGGGTTTTCAGGTACTACGGGATTAAACATGGGCCTAGGGATGCCAGCTCCGCTGCCGCCGCCCGGCGCGGCTACCATGACGATAATGACGACGATGGGCACCATGTCGTCGTCGGGCAACATGCCGTCGATGACAACCATGCGACCTGGCATGAGTAACGCGCCCCAGTGCCGTCAACCACCGGCGTACAAAGTCGCGCAACAGATGGCGAGGTTGCACAGACTCGGTCGTGCTAACAGCCACGAGGGGGTCACTTATCGGGCCACCGATCACGAAGATGGTACTACTACATCTAAGCAAATCGCTCTCTCTACCGTTCACACACACACATATACACAGAGTTTCACTCTCTCTCTCTCTCACGTCTTTTACATTTATATTATATTACATCTATTTCGGTTTACGCTCGTGTTCTCTTAAGGCTTCTTATTTATCTTGCCGTTGTTGAGATTCACGCACGGCGAAGAGCGCTGATGAGTTCCATTGGCGAAAGTCTGCTCCGTCAGCTCGCATTTACACCGGAGTAACTGTTCTGATCTTTACGACAGTTCTCATTTGCAAATGCTTTTTTATCGATTTTTTTCCTTTTTTTAATAGTTTTTTTTTTCAGCGTGCGCGTGCTACCAAAAGTGGCTCCTCTTATTTTCATCTTGTTATGCATTTTCTGTTCTCGTTATTTACATCATTTAGATGGATATAGCGAGACTTTTAAGATTGCCATTTTTTTCCCTCTATATAGTATTGATTTTTGTCGTTGCAAGCCACTTTTTCCGAGACAGTCTTTTCCCTATTTATGAAAAAGATATATGACACGATTGAAATAAAATGTTGAACAAAATCATGAATATAATTTTGAATACAATCTTGAACATAATCATATCAATGCAGTGATAATGTTATCAATGTCGGTCGGGTGAGAAACGACCGATATTATTCGATGTCATATGGTTATCATATGATTATAATCATATTATGTAAATAAATATTATATATTTACGTGTAAATGTGAAAACGTGCTTGTACAACACGTTGAAAGCTTGTGTTTTATTAATGTGATTATGTAGTGCACTCATTCAGCCAATGGTCGTGCAATTTCATAATCATGATAATTACCCGCATTAAGTCAATATTTACATTAGTGATCATTGCATAATACACTATAGCTTGCCTATTATCATTGAATTTGTTTTGCATTGAAATGTTATAATAAATTATATGCGATTTGTTTTCACAGTTTTACCTCTTGCATAAAATGTCGAAGCATGATTCGCTACTTGCATCCATGTCGCACGTGTAACCCTTTATCCATTTTTGTTTGCATTGTCTGCATTAATTGTTAATTTCTCTTGAATTAGTTTTTCAAAATAATCGAAGTCAAACAAAGAAATTCTTTTGTTTATAGACATCACATTAACGAGAGACTCTAAAAATATAGAATATAGGAAAATATAGAAAATATAAAATATAGGAAAAAAATATAGAAAAATTGTATATAATCTTGCTTTATTCAGCATGGAATATTTCGCAATAGCTTTTAATTTTGCAGCTCGAAATACTTGTGTTATTTTTCGCTCGAGATATTTTTATCACATATTTTGCTCGGATTTTAATCAATACTGTTAAATCGAGCCAAAATTGCACTCGAATTAAAATCATATCAATCCAAATAGAGTCCCTCGTATTTTTCCGATCATCACACCTGACACACTTGCGACGTGTCACAATACTAAAACACATTTCGAAATGTTACAGATGACGAAGACGCCCAAGTGTCGGCGGTTTAAGTGGTCCACGAATCTCATGGAGTTTCGGTTACCGTATTTTACTTTTGTTCGTTGTATTATTTCTTTTACGCTGTCAGAAAAAAAAATCGTTTTCAGATACCACGTTGCGAAAAGAGAATGCGGAAAAAAATACGACAGGCGAACAAAAAAAAATTATCTTCCTATAAATGTGGTTTCGCATTCGATAGCCGAGATATATATCCCTATATTCGATGGTCGTATTCGGTCGTTTGTATATCGACACTTTATCTTTTGAGCCGAGCGGGCAATTTTTCGCTAGGGCAAAACCTACTTATGCTTTACTGCAAGATAAGAGGCGTTTATTCTTATTTAAGCGGAAAACGCTTGTCTTCCAAGGATATATCCCTCCCGTGACAAACCTGACGGAACCATCGAGAGAGAATCTCAAGCGTTAAAATATTTATATATAATGTGTACCGTGGAAAGTATCAAATAGTTAGCGAATGTACGAGGAAACGGGGTATATAGGAGAGTATACTTTTCTTTTATTAGACTGAAGGGGAACACTTTTCGAATTGTTAGGTGTTTTCGCGAGTCTTTCTCTCGCGAGATGACGAGAAGCGAATTAGACGAGAAAGCGATCATAATATTCTATATAAATGTGTAATAAAACCGAGTCCAAAGATGTTATATATATATATATCTGCGCGTGTCACCAGAGAAAGAGTCTGAATATGACGACGTGTCCTGTAATATATATATACTTGGTAGGTTAATCTTTAGTGTCCGTAGTAATGTAAGTTGGTGTAAATAGCATAGTGTTATATACAATAATATTTAGCGAGGGAAAGAAGGGATATACACGTACGAAGGATCGGACAAAGATTCGATGTGAAATGTTTAGGGTCGCGCGGTTGACTCTCGTGTCTAACACGATCGCGATTCCACCGACATTTTACAGGTTTAAGAATTTAAATGATTCGTCTCCTTTTTTTGATCGATTCAGAAAGTGGAAACGGTTTATAATCGTATTCAGATTTCAGTCTTCAATTCAATTCGATTCGATTCGAAACGATCTTTTCTATTTTAAGCACCTTGCTTTTAAAAGATTTCTATCGTCAATCTGGAGATTTAAATTTTTACTAGAGAAGTTGATAATTTTATGCTTTTTTGTGTTGAATTTTAACAATGACATGATCAAGTACAAAAAATTTCTCGAATATTAACCGGGGACTACGATCGAGATAGAGTAGTTTTTCACAACGGTGTGAATTTTTTTAAGCGTATTTTCTCGCATTTACACGCCACTGAAAAAACTATACTTCACACTTCATCTATTTTTTTTTTAACGGAACATACGAATTTTAACTCGCAAGTAAGTTATTATTTTTCCAATTTCACCATCTTTAGTTACGATACTTTATTCAACGTTATCACCGGATTAATCATCGTTATTTTAATTTCAATATCGGTAATCTGTCTTAGTTTTATTCTTGCGCAATGTGTGAAAGGAAACGTCTTTAGATCGTATATCATTATTATAATAGAATTCGAGGGCAAGGGCGAGAGAGAAAAGAAAAGGAAAAGCAAATAAAATTTTTCGCCACTTTACATGTCGGTGCGGAAAAAGCGGATGGCTTTATTTATCGTAAGTTTATCCATGTATATTACATACACACATAGATATACGCGCGTGTGTGTACACGACACACACACACACACCCACATACCCACGCAGATATATGCTCTTGTCCATTTACATGAGACTCGAGTCCTTTTACAAGTATTATAAAGGAACTGTAATTCGCGTGCACGATGTGTATATCGACGCGTTAGCAAAAGAGGGCCTAATTACCCAGGCACCGTTTTTGCGATTGTCAAGTAAGCGGAAAAACAAAAAGTGTGTGCGAGAGAGAAGGAGAGAATGTGCGAAAGAGTATGGAATGTACGTATGTATGTAAAAGAGGAGTGAAAGAGTATCGAGAGTCAACACAGTACTTTTCTGGATACTCGGATCTCTATCATTTATTACATTCCAAACTTCGTCTTGCCGTGTTTTCGTAAACCCTTGACACATTTTCCACTTCTGACCGTTTGAAAAAAAAAAAAAAAAAAGAGAAGAAAGAAAAGGAATCCTCTCGTTTAATGGACTGCCGTTAAATATTGTTATTGCTTACTTTTTCCTTTTTTAATTTTCTTCTTTTTTTTTCTTTTTCTTTTTTTTTTTTTTAAATTATTAAAAGACCAATTTCGACATCCACGAAGACTGTGTGACTCTTCGACGTTAAAATGCCCAGTGATCCCGAAGGATCGGGAGGGAATGTGATCCAGCTCGGTCTTTCGGGACATGGGGAGAAATCAATATATATTTACTTGATATTCAAAATATTATATCTCTTTGTACATATCCTAACGACTTTTAAACATTAATATTCAACGTTCTCGAAGAAACTTTTAAGCGTATTTACCGATAATTAAGGTTCTTCGTAAAACGCAGCATCAAAAACTAAATCATTTTTTTCTTTAGTTTTGACACGACAAATTTACTTTTATCTTCGTTTTTTTTTCTTTCATTATTTTTTGTATTTTAGACACACCAGGCTCTACGTGCATTCCACGTGCATTTATTTATTTCGAAAATAATATTTTCGACGAATTTTTATCGAGAATTCTGTGGATATTGCTCTCTGTTTTCCTTTTTATTTGTTATATAATTATTATTGGCACATATATAACAATTTTCAAATATAAAAATTTCTAATAAAACAGCAACTCTTTTATACATGAAATAAAATATATAAGATAAAATAATATATTAAGTGTGAAATTATATATTATAAGTATTTTGCATGTATAGAGATGCAGAATTGTCGATAAAAACTCAAACTTTAAATTATTTTGGCAAAACCGTGTAACTTTAGTTAGCGATAAAAATTAATTCTCGAATTGAAGAAGCCTGGATACGTTAGTCGATTTTTTGCTCTTTTTCTTTTTAGATAAATCCTATTCGTAACAGTACAATACAAGCACGCGCGAGAATGTTTACTATTCGGGAAACGAAAGTTTAGACGGGTCACACCTTTTTTCGCTCAGCGTCTCTTTCTTTTTTTTTTATTTATACCACGCCTTGTTCTGTTATTTTAATTATTTATAACCCCGAGATATTCGGCTATATATATATATATAAAACGCGGATCGCAAACAACAGAAAATCTTTTGTATTTAATTTGTTTAATAAAACTTGAATCATAGTACAAAAAGTCTCCCGTCTTTTCAGTTTCGTTCTTCATTTTTTGGATCCTATCCCGCATCGAGATCCATCCCTCGCGTTTATTTATTAACGCTTTACAACAGTACAAATACTAACACCTTAGCAAAATTCTTCAAGGTATATGTATACAGGCTACTTTGCGTGAAATGACTCTGTCGCACGTTTGAAAAGTCTGAGAAGCGAAGGCAGAAGAAGCATTGCAGAAAATGTACGTATTTAGAAAGAACAAAAAATTAATCATTTTTTTGTCGACACATAATATGGAGAGACAACACAAAGATATTCACGAAGAATAATTTTATCACATCTTTTCAAGAGACGCAATTTTTTTTCCGAATCTCTTGGATATAGTTAATGTTTTTTTGGAATTTGGAAATGATAATTTAAAATATTTCCCCTTATATATATATATAAAAGTTGCTTTTACATCTTTTGATAGATGCGATTGTGTCACTTTACGCTCTGTATCAAGATTTTGTATATACGTATATAGAATCTCGAAATTATGTTTACAAGTTTCGTGTTTTATTTCCATTAATAAACCGCTACGTATGGTATTTTATTGATAATATAGGTATACACATCGAATTTTTAAATTATTTGTTAATACATATATGCTATATATATTTATTAAGAAATGAAAAGCCAAGCGCTTTTCGAGACATACCTAAAGGACCACGAGAAGTTTGTTAATTTTTCTCAGATGAATACGTTTGTTCTTAGAATTCTCGCGTTTTCGAAGAAAATATTTCGATACGATCATAATAATTGGTACCGTGCGTAGCGGATCATCCGTTGGAACGAAGTTGATAGGTGATACTACTGCTACTATTTTGTACGATACGATGTTTTGTATATCTGTCTACCGATAATGTGTAGATGTGAAGAGAGAGAGAGAGAGAGAGAGAGAGAGAGAGAGAGAGAGAGAGAGAGAGAGAGAGAGAGAATCTACCGATTATTTATATATAAGCAAAAAAAAATACATATTTCGAATACACATATTTAAGATTACCATTTGTAGACTTACGCGAGGGCTCATCAGCTGTACCCGCGAAGAGTCGCAGCGCATAGGTGTTTTAGTCCCAACATTTAATGTACACCTGTAAATCCCTCCCAGCAAACACAATATATGAACAATTAAAGGATTGGTAAAGAATCAGCAAGAGTCAGAATTTATTTGCCATTGTCTTAGGTAGATAAAGATGAAATAGCACGTGTATTTTTTTATATTAAGGAGAACCTTTAATATTCTTTATTATATTTGTGTGTATTTAGAAGAAAAAATGTGCCTCGAATAAGGTAAGAATAAGTATGCATGTGTGCACTTCCTTCCATTCGTGCAGCGGCCACATGGCAGCGGTTGACGAGCACCTGTTGCTTTAGACAGGAACCAACTGACAGTCAGGGGTTAGTCGATTCACTTACGCGTAAAATTGCGACTTCAGTACACGCTCTGGCCTGCACAACGTTCCTTTTCTTTTTCCAAAATATTCATTCAACATTATTTTGTTCGAAACAAAGGAGAGCTTTGACTGCAAAATTGCGCGCGATTGCAATATAATTTTATCATCAATCTGGTGCTTTAATGAAGAAATTAATTTAGACAAAAACTTTATTTTTTACATGTAAAATGTGATTTTTATATTTTCAGCTGCAATATCTATTTGCAATTGATAAATTATTTTATAATTTCAGCGAAAGTCAATATCTGCCAATTTGTCATTCACTCTACTTTTATATTTTCGTAATTATTTACATTTAAATAACGATAAAATTAATGAAGTCGCCAGTGATGAGTAAAACCATTCAAATTTATTTAAATTTCGAGTCATTATCAAGTGTAACTTTCGAATCAGCTGATTGAGGGTCGAAACGTAGTGTCATAATATTTTGTACTGGCCAGTTAGGTCGAAATTTAAATAAATTTGTATATTTACATTTATTATATATTTATAACGTTAATATTTATATTTTGTATTTGATAAACGATTTACATTTTACATTTATATTACTTTTATATTTTATAAATTAATTATTTGTGATAAATGAATAATGAATTATTTATGATAATAATTGCTGAAGGCTTGATGACAGCGAGTTTATTAAAATTCTTCAAATATATAAATGTCAAGCAGTGTAAATTAAATTTTAGAGACTTTCGCAAAAACGAGAATAGGATTCTACGAGGAATGAATGTAGAAGAAACCTCGCTCGAGCAGAGTGTACGATCGGCCGATGGGAGGAATCGATAAAATCATCCGAGGGTTGTTCTTGCCGAGCTTTTTCCTCGACCATCATCTCGCCGATCTCGATCCACGGGGGATATCATAGAGATCCCCCGTGTATCCCTTTCTCCCGCGTATATTTCGCAGCAGCACTCCGACTCCACCACCTCCATGGTTTCGCCATTTCCCTCTCTCTGCGGCGAACCGATGCACGATGCAGGGGAGAAAGAAACGCCGCCTTCCGACCGGCACGTAGTTGTTCGAAAACCGCTCGCTCTTACTCGCGCCGCGTGTGCGCTCGGTTTCTATATCTCTCTGCGCGTCCGAGAACCTTCCCGCTGTACCTTCGATCTCGATCGCGAGATCGGCTATTCAAATCGCGGCGTGGGATGGTCTCGCTTCGATTTTCGGCTCCTCGAACATGCGCGTTGCCGATCATGCGCGAAGGGTCTTCACGATCGGATCGTCGGGTGTGATTTTCGCGGGTGATCTTCGATCTTCGGGGTCGATTTTTCGCGATAGATCATCTGTGAATTAAAGTGTTGTTACATATAGTGTTATGGGTTTACGCTGATCGATTCGGGTGTCATTGATAGTTGTAGAAAAATTGATTCGGTCTTGGGTTTGTCTATCTGGGATCTTCGATAGATATCGAGATTGGCGAGATCTTACGAAAGGTGCGAGCCCTCACATGTATCTGCCTCTCATTATATCGCACTTATCTTTCATTCGCATAGGAATGCATATTACCTCGGAGATTATTAAATGCTCGCAAGTGCACCGTAATTGAATCTCGTCGGAGATCCCTGGCAGGAGTACCTTCGATAGGGGAACGTAATTTCGACTTAATCTCCGTGAATGATTCGACAGGACGAAGTAGTTCGTTCTTATCCGACCGGTCCGGTACCCGGTACTTATTGCAACGTTCTCGATAATAATCTTTCGTCATTGAAGATTTCCAACTCTATCCGGGGATCATTTTAGTGAAGACGATCTTCTATTATCGAGGAGATCCATTTAAAAAAGATTCAAGAGATTCGAGTGAATGTCAGCGAGCGTACAATATCGAATCGCATAAAGGATCAGCCTATGCGTATATCTCGAAGAACGTAATCTCATCTTGAGCTTCACGCGTGATTTGACAGAAAAAAAAAAACAATTTATTCTCTTAGATGGAGACTCTAGCACTTGAACATTTTTCCGTCGTTGATAATTTGTGAGGATTAACTAGAGAAGAGAAAAGAGAGACTACTTTCGTTGGTTTTAACGAAACCAGGAACATCTTCTCTAGCTTGTCGAGGATCGTCGAAGGGAAACGGAAGAGATAATTTCCGATTCTTCGCGCGAACTTCCTTCATTTGAATAGACGCTTTATTAGACGGTCGATGCACTTATTCTTCGTCATATAGTGAATATATTTTTTACAGAAGATTAATAAAATAAAATAAAAATCTTGCGAGTATATCTCGATTGAATCTTTTCGGAAAATTTCTCAAGTGCTTCAGAGTTTCCTTGAATCAATCAATTGCCAGACTCGAGTAACTGCGATCTAGCATTCGATCTTCCATAAAAAAAAAAAAAAAAAAAAAATCCAGTTATCGTCCTTGAAAAAGTCCGACAAAAATCTGAGAGACTCGCCGCGCATCTTAATAATCGTTCGAGCGAGACAAGCATCTTCTCATCGAAGGTTGATTGCGAAGCGAAGCGGGATAAATAAGAAGAGGGTCTCGACTCCCGCGCGTGTGAATTTTCGTCGATTGTCGGATCAACTTCCGACGCATGATTCATCGGAGTGGAGCCGCTGCTTGAGCGGGTCAGGGACGAGAGGAAGGTGAATCCGCATATTTATATTCATCGATGCTTCAGGTCGACGCACGTACAGGGCCGCCG